ATTGTTTCTGACCCTCCTTGGATTAACAGCTACGGAAGACATTTTCCTCCCATGGCAAAAGGCATCATGTATGAACATTTGAGCATTTTATTTTCAGGCCATGTTCATCTCATTACCCCTTACATGGTCAGTCCCTTAGTAAGGAGTAAGAAGTATATTCTACCTACTGTGAAGCTATGACATAGGTATGGAAGTATGATATTGAATAGATACTCTTACACGAATGTGAAATATTGAGACCAACATTTAATCTATATTACCCTGTATGGCTGGCTGTTTTTGTCACTCTTGGAACCAAGATCCTCTTTTCTGAGTAAACATTAGTCAATTTTTTATTTTATTTTTTATTTTAGTCATGAATGATGATGAAGGACCATTGCAAAGGAAGCCTCCAGTTGAGCCCGATCCAGTACAAGTGCAGATGGTACTGAATTTTGGCAACTGTATTTTTCAGTAGACAGGTCTCTAAGTTGCATGGGTATGTTCCTTTGAAGCAGTCCTACTCATCAGAAATCCAGCAGCTACAGCCATATCCCTTCCCTCTACTGCTCTAGTAAATCTTCATATCTTCCTTAGAGATCAGCCAATCCAAAGGTATTGATTGGCCTTGATCCTGTTTAACTCATGAGAACAATCATGCACCTCACTTAAGGTGATACAGTATCTGCAGTTCTTGGGAAAGAATGACTAAGTAAATGTCAAGGAGAGGAGCGATAAGAGGCAGTGTCGGCCTCTGCCTGTAAATGCCGTGTGTCTCTGTGTCAGCTTCCATTCTCACCTGGAACGCTTTCACTTTGGTCCTTCAAGGGTTTCCCGCTGCACTCTTCTTTTGCTGTCTCTTGCGTCCCTTCCCATAAGGTAGGCAGTTTACAGTAATAGCATTGGAACGAGGAAGGCCTGCGTCAGACAGGAAAGGTTAAACATTTTTAAAATGCAAACCAGATAAATTTTTAAAAACCTCAAAATTGTCTTGGTGCCACAATGCCTCTATTGCCATCCCCAGCCATTCTCTTAACAAAAGACGTTCCTCTCTTATGCAAGCTCCTTGTTAGTCAGAGGAGAGATTTCCCTGTCTCCTCAGCGGCACACTCTGTATAATTTAAGGTGACTCACTGTGCAGGAAAGTTCACCTTCCATTAGCATGTTTTCTTTAGTAAGCACTCTCTCGCAAGTGCTGTAGTGTAAACATGAGTGCCTACGAATATGAACATTTATTAAATAGCACTGATGAATATTTCAATACCTCGGGGAGAGCAATTCACAGCTCAATCATTCAGGCTGTTTTAAGTGCAGCACAGGACAATTCCACTACATCTTCCATTAATATTTAATTGCCCATTTTATTCTGTTTACCTTTTTGGTTAATATATAATTTAAAGCCCTTCTACTAAAAAGAGGGGAAAAGAGAACAGCTGTTCATCTGCTTTTAACAAATCTCTGGTGAGAGCTTTTACCTCATTTAAAATTCATTGCGAAGAGTTTTTATTTAATATCAGTAACACAAAATCTCAGGTATTAAATGTAAAACTTGGAATCCGCTCTCATGCAAAGAGCCTCGCTGTGACTTGGGTTTGATTACAGGTGAGTGGCAGGCATTGACAGGAAACGTCTGAATCGCCAGCAATGGCGCCATGTGTCACATCCTCATGAAATAGAATCATAGTAACTCGACCTGACACATTCTGACAACATGTCGGGAAGTTGTTATGCAGCCTGCGGAAAGTGAGTCCTGTCATCCAGCAATGCAGATTTTACTGACGGGATAAAACACTTCTGTTCTCGCTAAAGGACAAGGGAGTCAAATATGTGTGTGGCCTCGAGCAGCCAGGGAATCCCTGGTGCACTAACCACTTGTTTCTCCTTGGCCCTCCCTTGGTGGATGCCATCACCTTCTCTCCTTGCTGTCTTCGGATCCAAAGGCTCGTCTCTTGTCATTTTAGCTTTTCTTTCCTCCCAGTTGGATGCGGTTGCTTGTCACAGGTCTGTCCCTAAACTCCACCTGCTGGCAGGGACTCTGATATTTACTGACAGGTCTCCATGCTCTTGGGGGCCTCCCAGGCCAGTGTGTAAAACCTATCTCGGATCCACCCCAGAGAGGGTTACCTATCCCATTTTCCTCACTCACCTGGAAACAACTGCTTTCTAGGACAATGGGATGCTCTCTTGATCTCTGCCACGGATTATTCCTCCCTATCTATGTACCTTGGCCTGTTTAAATATTCCCAGCATGACCAAGCCAGCAGAAGCAGAAACCTCAAAAATACCACCACTGTCATTTTGCTTCCAAAGTTTCTTCTCCAGGGTAGATTTCCCTGAGCTGCTCCGCATCACACCGTTACTGTCTTCCCCAGTCTCTGCTGAATGTGATTCACTTTCTCCATCTGACTCTGCTGATAGAGGCCCTTATATAATGCTTCCTTTCACTCATTCACAAATATTTATTAAGGATCTGAACTGGGCATTGTTTAATGGGCTGGAAATGCAGGAATACAATAGGGTGGGAAGGAGAGACAGGGAAAGGTAGACAGAGACAGAGGGAGAGACAGAGACCCTAGTTGCCTTTAGGAAGCTTAAAATAATTTGAAGAGGAGTCACTGGCCTTGAACTCTATTGATGCTGAACAGAGGCACACTCTATTCTTACCCTGGATGCTGGGATGCCTCTCTGTATTGTCCAGAATAATGAATTGATTACAAAGACATTCCTGGTTATTTCCAGCCTCCCCCCATCACCGCCCCCCTCAGCCTCCATTGTCCCCCCACCATATCAACACCCTTTGAAGCTTGACTTATGAAGTAAAGTCTGTTTCTCTCATCTCTTGAGTCTGGGCTATTCCTGTGACTTGCTTTGACCAATAGGATGTTGATTAAAAGTAATGGTGTGCCAATTCCAAGCCTAGGTCTCAAGAGGCCTGTTTGCTTCTGTTTTCTCTTGGACTCTGCCTCTGCCTGGGCTAGCCTGCAGGAAAATGAGACTTCATGAAGCACAGATGAAATATCCCTGCTGAGATCATCCTATACTGGCTAACAGCTAGCCAACCCCTGTACATGAGAGGGAGTCCAACCAAGATCAGCAGAGTGCCTTTCCAACACATAACTAACCACAGATGTATGAGGGAATAAGATAAATGGTCTTTTAAAGCCTGGCAGGTCAGAGGGAGGAGTGATATATGATTATATTGGAACTGGAGGGATGCTAGAACAGTGAATCAGAGAGAAGGACATGCTAGCCAAAAAAGAACATGAAAAAAAAAAAAGTTATGGAAGTAAAAATAGGTGGAAGTACCATAATATAGGGCAAGTGAGGAAAAATGACTAGAGTTATAGATGTAAGTGTAATTAAGGACAGAGAGCATTGAAGAATATTTCAATATTTTGCTGGATGAGATCAGTAAATAGAACCACTCTGACAAGGCCAAAAGGCTAGTCTTCTCAGATACTCATGGACAATAAAAATGCATAATGTTTTAGGGCCATTAAATATAGGTTTTCTCTGATAGGTAACTTCTTCTATGGCCTACTTAGGTGAGATATAGTCCTACACTCCCTTATCCTTTCACAAACCCCACTCAACCAGATCTCAAGATTTGACGGTTTGAACTTAGTTCTAATTTTTTTTTTTTTTTTTTTTTTTTTTAAGTTTCAGAGTCAGGTAACTGAATCAAATCCCTTAAAAATTGAGCTTAGAGCACAGTAACTTAGAAATGAAATGAGAGCCCAAGGCTAATAAGGGGAAATATATGGTTTAAATTCATTGCAACAGAGAATTGGATCACTGTTTGGATTGATTTATATCTCATCAGAAAGGGCTCACACATCCCTTTGTATAGTCATTTACCAATTTGAGTGGAAAAACTGATGCCATGATTTAATGGTACACAGCTCAAATTGTGGTTATAACTCACATTTCCATCCCTCCTTGCCCATTATCTTCTGTATTAATTCAATCACATAAGTTAGGTAGGTTGGTGGGGAGACCTATTAAGTCATCTTTCTTTTCCCCAAGAGCCATATCTGAATTTCTACCCATTGTGTATTTTCAAATGCTTTTTCTCCAATAAGGCTAAAAATGGTCCACCCTAAAAGCTTTAACTGGAAGTATATTCTTTAAGCACTTTACCGGGAAAGAAATTAATGTATCAAAAAAATAATTGGAGTTTTATCTGACCAAAACCCACAAAGCAAGGAAATTCAGAATAATGGTCAGATTTTTTTCCCTTTCTGCCTTCATTTTTGCTTTGTGTATGCTACAGAGATATCAGATAGCGCTTGATGGGGCTTGAGAGCACATTAAGGTTAGGGTTAGATATCACAGAGTTAGGGACTACCTGAATTATATGGTTGATCTGAATTTCTTAGATATGGCCAAATCCTCTAAAGTTTATCAAGGCCAGAAAATCTAGATGATTTGTAAAAAAGATAATTTTAACTAGAGAGAATCATAATATTGTGTTTTGTTATAGCAGAGCTCGTGTAAACATCTTATAGACCTTATGAGTCTCAAATTATGGGGTTTGGCCTTACTTATTGCTTCAACTTCACATAGAATATGGTTATTCTAAAAATATCAAAATGGAATAAGGGAATCCAATATGGACTAATTCCTGAGCTGGGTGGATTTTTATGGATATGAACTATGGAGTTGGGAATACTCAGGTGGATGTAAATCCCATATATTTGTAGCATGATCTTGGTTAAGGTTACCTAAATGTTTGAAATACTAATTTTCTTATTTTTAAGATAAAGGAATAAGATATTTTCCCTACAATTTTGAATAAGGTCAAATGAGATAATATATGTTAAAGGAACTGGATCAATATTTTCCCAAGTGTGTTCTGCCTAATGTTATTAGGGGTTATGTATAAATAAATACTCTCTATGATCAAATAATTGTGGAAAACAGTGTCAAGTGAAATTAAACAGTCTTATGTGCTGTAGCACTTCTCAGAGTTTTTAATATACTAGTAGTCAAAAAGAATCTCATTTTCTAGATTTATTTAACTGAGATACCAGCAAGAAAGGTAATTGTTGAGAAAATAATAAGTGTCCAGAAGTGTTAATTTCCTTTTCTGTTCTTATCTTGGACTGGAACCAGTGGCTTGGTAAGCTCTAAGAGGGAGAGCTGTTTTCTGATTCTCTTCATTCCTTCTCAAATTTCCTACAATGATGAAATGAACAAAACAAACATGGTCATCCCTTGAAATGTAAAAATGGATCATCATCTCATACCATATGATGCTTGTTAGTATTTTAAATATTCCTGTGAGGATTAAGAGATTCAAATAACATCAAAAGGTGAGACTTAAAAAGTAAAAGCCTAACTACCTACCAATTAGAAAGACCAAAATCCAAGATACAATACTAAATGCTGATAAAATGTGGAGCAACAGAAACTCTTTCATATGTGTAAGAATGCAAAATGGTACAGCCAGTTTGAACAAAGTTTGGTAGTTTCTGACAAAACTGAACATACTCTTATATGATCCAACAATCATGACTTTTACTCAGATGACATGAAACTTATGTCCAAACAAAAACCTGCATGGATATATGCATAGGAGCATTATTCATATCTAGAGTTCCAGTGCACAAATTGGTGCACGGGTGGGGTCACTCAGCCTGGCCAGTGATCAGGGCCTATCAGGGCTGGCTGGCCAGGGGGAGGGACCACACAAGGTTGGCCGGCTGCGGGAGCACACTGACCACCAAGGGGCAGCTCCTGCATTGAGTATCTGCCCCCTGGTGGTCAGTGCGCATAATAGCTAACAGTTGGTTGTGGAATCATAAAGATTGCTTACACTTCTATAGATAGATAGATAGATAGATAGATAGCCAAAACTTGGTAGCAACCAAGATGTTCTTTAGTATAGTGGTTGCTAACATTTCGGACCTCATAGACTACCAGTGGTCTGTGGACCAGCAGTTGACAACACCTGCTTTAGAAGATGAATGGATAAGTACACTGTGGTACATCAGACAATGAAATAAATACTACTTTGTGCTAAAAATAAATGAGCTATCAAGTCATGAAAAGATGTGGTGGAGGAATCTGAAAAGGCTATATTCTATAAGATTCCAATTATGTGATATTCTGGAAAAGGCAAAGCTCTGGAGATAAAAGAGAAGTGGTTAGGAGAGAGGAAGAGTTGAACAGGTAGAGCAGAGATGAATTTTAGGACAATAAAATTATTCGGTATGAATTGGGAATACATGCCATTGTTCATTTGTCAAAACAAGAGTGCGCCTTAATGTCGACTATAGACTGGGGGTGATAATGATCTGTCATTAAGGTTGCATCAGCTGTAGCATTGGCTGGTGTGATATATTGATAATGGGGGGAGGGCTGTACATGTGTGGGGGCAAGGGGCATCTGGGATTCTCTGTACTTTCCACTTAAATTTTCTGTGAACCTAAAAATAAAGTCTATTAAAAAATAAAAGCCACCCTTTCCCACATTGTGATCACTTTCCAAAGATAATCAAGTTAAGTCTTGCCTACCTTTTCAGATATAATTATTATACATATACCAATAGTATACATGAATATATGTATATATTTGATTCTACATTTACAATATATATGCTTTTTTTACATGAACATATCATTTATCTATCTACCTATCATCTGTCTATCTATCTATCATCTATCTATCTATCTATCCATCTATCTATCATCTATCTATCTATCATCATCTATCTAACTTGCCTACCTTTCATTGCTATTCCAATGGGTAAAAATGGCATCTTCTATTTGTATGAATTTACACTTTTAGTTTTGAACAATTTTTAGACTCTTTTCATATGATTATTGTTTATTGGCATATCTTCTGAGTATCATCCTTTGCTCATATTTCTATTAAGTTACTTTTAAAAACAAATAATTATTGATTTCTACAAGTTCTTTGTAAATTATAAAACTTATATTTAACACTAAGTTGAAGAAATGTATTTTATACAATATGTATTAATGTTTCCTATTTTGCCACTCTCTGTAGTTTATTTTTGTCATACAGAAATAATTTTTTTTTAATCCTCACCCTAGGATATTTTTTCATTGATTTTTAGAGAGAGTGGAAGAGAGAGGGCAAGAAAGAGAGAAATATTGATGTGAGAGAAACACATTGATTGGTTGCCTCCTGCATGCACCCTGACCTGGCCCCAGGCTGGGGAGGAACCTGCAACTGAGGTAGGTGCCCTTGGCTGGAACTGAACTCAGGACCCTTCATTCTGTAGGATGACATTCTATCCACTGAGCCAAACTGGCTAGGACTGGAAATTAAAAAAAAAAAATTATACTGCTAAATTTATTATTATTTTTTTAAATGTGTTCTTAATAATGTGTCCTGGTCAGGAAGACCTTCTCTATTCTAAGAAGATAATAATTTTATTTGTGCTTTTGTTGAAAATATTTAAGGATTCATTTTTTTCATATTTAAATTTTTGATGTAGCTACAACTTATTTTGGTATAAAATGCAAAAGAGGGATTTAACTATTATTTTTTCAAACAGCGTCCCAGTTATTTTAACCTCATTTATAGGTAATCCTACTTTTCTCCATTGATGAAAAATGCCTATTTAATTTTCAGTATGTATTCAGTTCTATATCTGAATTTAGTTAATTTGTATATTTCTATTTATAGCAATTCTTATCATTTTTCTAGATTGAATTTTCCAGTAATAAATATTTTAATAGAATGTTGTGTTTTATATATTCACTAGAAAAACGGTGCATGAAATTTGTGTATTTGGGGGGGGGGGTCCCCCTCAGCCCAGCCTGCACCCTCTCCAATCCAACAGGACCCCTTGGGGGATATCTGATTGCCGGTTTAGGCCCAATCCTGGGGCCTAAACAGACATCCCTTCCACAATCTGAGACTTCTGGCTCCTAACTGCTCACCTGCCTGCCGGCCTGATCATCCCTAACTGGCCCTCCATGCCTAATCGCCCCACACAGCCTGCTGTTTGGTTGTCCATCAGGTTGTCTCAGTTGTGACAGCCCCTGGCTTTTATATATTAGAATTAGAAGAATAAAATTTCAAGCCTAACAATTTACTGTTCAAATGTTTAGGCATGCTTGAATTAGGAAATTGTCTATATGTGTGCTTTAGAGAGAATGGGGATTGTCATTTCACTGATATAAGGATTTTCCAGCTGCAATTAAAAAGAATGAATAGTAAATGGTTATATCCATACATTTTAAGACTTTGTTCTCAACAGGTAGTTTTGTCAGGTTGCTATGATTCTAAAACTTAAAGTAAAAATAATAGCAATACAAACTTTGTAAAAATAAATAATATTTCCCTTTACTAACTGAAAACAGCAAAGTCAATACAATGTACACCATTATTCTCCTAAACTTTTTGTGTGACTATTCCCATTTAAAGATGGGTAGAAAAGGTAAAAAGAGGACAAGCTGATTAAAACCAAAAATGAATCAATGCAAGGACTAGAAACAAAGCTTCAAAAGGACATATGCTCTCTATAGTTATCCTCTTGAAGAAAGCAAGGCTGGATGCTTGTTTGCTTACATTTTTTAAATTGCTGTTGTTAAAGAAAAGAAATTTAGAGATCACAGCTAACAGTGAGAAATGGAAGAGGATGTTCAACAAAGCTTCCCGAAATGGCTTAATTTTACTTCTAGTATTCAACTGTGGATAAAATGATCCCTTAGAGATGATTAAATCAGATAAATTTTAAATAAATCAAACTGAACCATAGAACTATTGGGTGAGGCCAGGAATATCTTCTTTATCTTTGCTTAGTTGCAATTATACCTGTATGTTTTTACCATTTCCAGATAAGAACTTGGGAGTAGATTCTAACCTAATAGTTTATTTCATATATCAAAAGGCACAATACATAAGCTATTTCCTTTTTTATTACATCTTTTCTAAACATTCTTTCCCCCCCAACATTAAAGTGCCTATTTAGTTGTTGCTTTTCTCAAAGCAGACGATAATTCCATGCAGATAATGTAGTGTAGTCACTATCTAAACCCCTTGCTTTTTATGACAGTAACACAAATTCAAAAATGACTCTCTTGTTTCTTATTTTCCTCCGATGCTTCTTGTCTGAATTCATACTCTATCTTTATCAGCAATACCACTATTATCTACCCACTTCCGAACTCTCATGCATTCAGTTGAAAGAAATCTAATCCCCAAAAGGAACAAACCTCTAGTCTTTAATATTTGTTAAGACAGCTGCAAGTAATTGTTTAGTGTCTGTGTTATTTCCTTTTCCATTGTCTCTAATTCCCGTTATTATTATAAGTGTACACAATTTTTCCTTGATGTTTGTCCCCTGAAATAGCTATAGTGCTTACAAAACATTTAAAATTTTTCTTTATTATAACGTTCTGTTTTTCCCCCCTAGTGCTTACTATTTAATTTGCATCCTTTAATGTTTTATTGCAATCCCCATTTTATAAACCAAATTTTTTCCTTTTGCCTTAATGATTGTTGTTTACCTTTCCTTAATATGGGCTCAAGATCCAGAAGAAAGAAAAAAAACCACCTCTCCCATTTTATCTTAGCTTCAGCAGCTTTGTCTTAACTTCAGTCCCCTTGTGATCCTAGGAGACCTCCTTCCAAGTGACCAGCCATAGTACTAGGGTTCCAAAGCTCTGGGGAGCTCCTTTCCCTTCTCCTTTATCTCCCGCAGCCTGAGTATGCTGTGTGCTGGCTGCCTGCCAGGAGTTAGCAAGAACAGCATTGCCACATATTAGGATTCCTCTGTCTTTGGGACTCACTCTAACTTGCTTAGTTCTGGGGGTGCTTTGTTCTTGCTTAGTTCAGAGCAATGTTCACCCAGGTTCTCTGAAACTCAGATGATACATAGTTTGTAAACCTTGAGCCTCATTCAAAACACGAGCTATAACTTACCAGGTTGAATAGTCCAGTTTGGGTACAAGCTATGCAAGGGAAGCACCGTGTGTCCCATGTCATCGGTATTCTTGACACTTCATTACTTTCAACACCACCCTGGTGGATCAAGAAGTGGAAGTCACATAAAGAGATCGGTAGACCTCTCAGTAAGTCAGACTTGATGCTTTAGCAACATGCTTCTGCTTGTTGCTCTCTACCTTGGCCCATGATATCCCTCTCTTGGTAATGTTCTTCCCCCTTAACATTTTAGCAAATGTCCCACTCATTCCTTATTTTTAAATCGTTCTCATTTTCATCAAATATGCATGGACTTAGCTTGAAAGGCAGCTTCTTCTATCAGGTATGTTGAGGCCAATAGCAGTCCCTGGCCTCCTTTTCCAGATTCCTCTGCCCTACAGGCATTCAGTTTCCACTCTTTTGCTTTATTCTTTTGGTATTTACATTTTACGCATTGTGTGTTGACTTTCCAGTATGGAAGGTAACCATTAGGTTTCCCCTACTGCCACTCTGACATATTTTAGGGTATCAATATGGTAAAATTATAGCTGGTTTTGGTAAATTTAGTACTTATATTATTATTACATCGTTCAGAGCTGAATCATAGTAAACTGTGATCATGTTTCCTTACCTGTGCAACCTGTTCTCCTTGCCCTCCCCCACTCCCGAGTATGAGACATTTTCCCCTATTCGTTTTGCTTATTTTTCTATTCATCTTAAAGGGGCCAACCCTGAACATTCTGCCAATTACCTAAATTTATCAGTGCTTTAATTCACATCTGTTATGCTAACAGTTTCTATAGTGAGCTCTCTCAAAACATTCTGAGTTGCTTTAGTCTGTACAAGTTGCCCTCCATACCTTGTGCACAGCTGTCACTTTCGGATTCCCATTTGCCACCATCCCAAGGATTCACTTGGCTGCTGATCTGTACTGGATCTCCTGCTCTTGTTTTATTATCCTTTCACGTTACTCTGAGAATATTAAAGATAATTTTTTTGAGATTTTCTTCTTGCATAGTCTGTTTCTTCCATGTTGCTTTCTTTCTGTTTATTCCCCCAGGATATTTAACAGTCCTGGGTGTCTCATATATTTAAGAGTAGGGGAATAAACCTTATTGAAAGCTCTGAGCATGTGAGTGGAACTAATTGACAGTAGTATCATTAAAGGGTAATTTGGTTTAGTTGATGTTGGAGAACTGATTTCAGTGCTATTTTGTTTTTTTCTCATTGACTAAACAGTTTCTCCAGAAGAGACTCTTGCAATCTCCTGCCTCCAGGAGTGAAGGCACAGCAGCCAAAATTTGGAAGCTAAGTGAAGGAAGCTGACTAGAATATGTATATGTTAAATTTCCATTTTTCAGTAAAGCATACCTTCACTTCATTGGTTCTCCTAGTCCAGAGATCCTCTATGTTATTATTATTTCTTTCTAAAAAAATAAATCTCAGTCTTCTGCCAAGGTAGGATGGGATGGAATTGGAGAGATCATTTTTTTTTTCAACAGCTCTAAAACAATTTTCCTCTGATTAGCCCATATTCTTCACCCCATTTTGTGTGATCTTGCCACTTCTTGGGACTGTTGGAGATCTGATTTTAAGTAGCTGTTCAAAAATTGTCCGATCTGTCTATTCATATATATTAAATGACCTTTAGTTATTGTAAATATTACCTATCTTTATGTGGCTATACTCAATTTACTAGTATTTTTATTAGAATTTTGTATCTATACTCCAGAGAGAGATTGACAACAATTTTATTGTTTTGTCTTGTTCTTATGAAATTTTGATAGTCAAGTTTATCCTGATTTTGGAAGTGTTTCCTCTTTTTTTTATCTCTGGAAAATTTGTATAAAATAGGTGTTATTTCTTTATAAGTCTTAGGTGGAATTTTTATTACTGATTCAAGTTTTTACATAAATATGAAATGATTCATATTTTTATGTGTCCATTATAATTATTAACTTCATTTAAGTTTTCAAATGTATTGGCATGAAGTTTTTCATAGTGTCTCCTTATTATCTTTTTAATTCTGTAGGGACTATAATGGTGCCTAATTTTTCATTTCTGATATTGGTTCCTTTCTACCATTTTTCTTTATCTTCACTTTGATAACATTTATTTCTTCTTTTATCTTTATTGTCTTCTACTTTTTGAAGATATTTAATTTTCTATTCTTTTTATAACTTCTTGGTAAGGTAATTTTGGTTCTAGGTTTTAAGATTTTTTTCAAACAGGCTTTAGTTGCATTTTACAAGTTATCTTTTTAAAAATTTTAATTTACTTCAAAGTATTTTCAATTAGTTTTTTCTATTGCATATGTGTTCTCTATAGTTATTTTGTGTAAGTTCTAAACATTTTGTGATTTTTCTACTTACCTTGCAATTAATTTCTAGTTTAATTGAATTGTGATCTAGAAACATAATATGACTTTAGTAAGTCCTCACCAAATTAGTTGTTAATTTGTGACAACACTTATTTACCTGTGGTTCACCTCTATTTAGTTCATTAGTTTTTCATTTTAACAGTTCTGAAGCTTTAGGTAAATCACTTCTCTAAGAATTATTTTATGCACTTTGAAATAGAAAATTGGAAAAATGAGCTCAAAATCCCCCTTTATAATTCTGATATTATATTATTCTAAATTACTTTTTATTCTCTAGATTTCAACAACATGATAGTTAAAGGGAATTCATAGAACAAATATAATTATTTGTTCATATAACAAATAATTTTAATTGGCAAAATAGTTGGCATTTCACCAAGACATGGTTGGAGTTTTATTTAATTAAGAATAAGGCATTATACTAGAGGCCTGCTGCATGAAATCTGTGTAAGAGTAGACCTTCCTTCTCCCGATTGCTGGCAATAGCTTCCCTCTGGCACCTGGGACCTGGGCTTGCTTCCCTCTGGCATCATTAGGAATGACATGCGGAAAGACGTCTGGTCTAATTAGCATATTACCCTTTTATTATTATTGATTTTTAAAAAAGGATATGTAATTGTTAATAATGTGTGCTGCCCTTGCCTTTTAAGGTGTCTGATTTTATGAGACCATGATTGGAAGCATTAAAATACCTCAAAGAAAGCTATAGCCTTATCATGGAGAGTGTGAATAAATCCAAGAAATATTGGAAAATTGCAAGAGAAAAATGATTCTATCACAAATTTTAGCCTCAAGTCACAGAGTACTCTCTTCCAAATATAGGGCTCTCTTCACCCATTTTGTTAATAAGCACTGTGCTTATTATGAATGGCCCTCCACCCCCTCCTCCTCCTCCTTCTTTTCTGTCCTGAAGAAATGAGTCTGGATTAAGATTATTTTGTTTTGTTTTGCTAACACCTTTAAAACTGCTATTACTTGTTGTTTTACTTTTTTAAAACAGTAGTAACTATCTTCTAGTTTGTTAGGCATTGTGCTAAAGCACACTGAGTCTTTTAGGCCTTGGGATACTTTTTGGTACATCGAAAATTGTGATAATTTTTTTTTATTTGATACGCATATATACACTCCACCCTTTTTCTGGTTAATGATGACCTTAAACAAATAGCCAGATATATTTCTCTGGAAAATTGGGTTTATTTGGGAGCAACATCAAATTTCAATTTAGGACATGTGGTCTAATGGCAAACCAGGCACAAGTGCCGAGAAACAAAGGAGAGGAAGCTTTCAGGGAAGAGGAAGTCAGGAAAGCTGTTATAAACTGCGCTCTTCCCCTTGGGCTCCATGGACCAACTTTCAGTATAGGGCAGGAGAGCTCCCTCGTCGGACCTCCAAACTTCATTTTAAATGAGGTTTCTGTTTATTACATTAATAATACATTTATCATCACCTCACATATTTTTATCTTTTTATTTTGATGAGAACATTTAAGTTCTACTCATTTAACTACAATGCAGTGTTATCAACTATAGTAAACATGTTTTACATGAAATCTGCATTCCTTTCATAGCTAAAACTTTGTCTCCTTTTACCAACCTCTCTCAATTTCCCTTACTTCCCAGCCCTTGGAAACCACCTTTGTACTCTGTGGTCTCTGTTATTCTAGAGTCCTGGTTGACTCAAGTAGCTTCTATTTGGTTTTACCTGGGGGAAGTTTGGACACTGAAAAGCTTAAATTCCATGTTAGTAAGAAAGATATTAAAACTTTCAGAGATTGGCCCAATGCATAGTTCTACAAAAGCATATTTTATTTTCTTAAGTGATAATATATTTTTCCCCTTGGGGGAAGAAAAATAAAATTTAAGCCCATAATTCTCTAATATTCTTTATTGCCAAACTCCAAACAAGATAAGGAATTGTTTCTAACAGTTTCCTCACCAAGACAGAGTTATCCTTAATAACTGTGCTATCATGTTATCAAGGGTTCTGTTATCACAGCTTCAGACTTGACCCTCTGAACTCCTTCTATCGTCATGTCCATAGCAGCAGGTGAGCTCTCGATATTGTTGGTATCTACTCTGTTTCCGGTGTTCTATCTTCTTTCCTGGTAACATTGTAGAGTCTTCCTTTATTCCCTGGTCTACCTATGACTGGATTTAAAATTTCCTTTCTCCTTCTCCCCTGCTATAGTCACTAAAACCATCCCCATCCTTAGCCTCAGTTGCTCATCCTTCCACTTCTCTTTCAAAGTCCATGAAACTAAGTCTCAGAAAAGTGGATAAAATCTCACCTTTCAAGGCTTCCTCCTTTCCAGAAGAACTTGGACACAGATACAGTTGTCTTCCTTTTGGCATTTCTTACAGTTTAAATGGAAGAAAATTTAAGAGGAAGAGCCTGGAGAAAAATGAGACTGGTTTGCTTTACTTTAAGGATCCAAATCTAGCTGCCACCTCAGGCTATTAATTTAAATTTCAGGAGTTTAAGAATCCATGACTCCTTGTCAGATTCTTTTAATTTACTCTAGGGATTCTTATCCTCAGAGTTAGGAACATTTTTCTGCCTAGGTAATTTCAAAATGCAAATAACAATAGCAACAACAACAGTACAAACATTGTAACATTTATTGAGAAATAACTACAGAGCTAATCACTTTTATATGCATTCTCTCATTTTACACAATGTAATGAGCTAGGTCCTTTCGTAATCCTCATTGGAAAGAAGAGGAAAGAGGTTTGGAGAGGCAAATAAATTGCCTAAGGTCACATAGCTAGCATATGTTGAAACTTGGAATAGCATCCAGTTCTGCCTGATTTCAAAGCCCAGCTCTTAATTACTAGGAGTTTTGCTTTTTTCTTTGCTCCATGGTTCAACATTCCAGAATGATTTCTGAGATGTGCGGTTTGGCTTTATATTAATGCCAAATTAGAGGTTTTGCATTAAATGGCTTTTCGTCTGGGGAGGATGTGACTAAGAATGTCTAATCAGTAGTAATATTTTACATATTTTTAATGTTTGGCCTTCATATTAAACCTATATGGATGCCTGCTTTAAAGATGAAAAGTTTGATTTTTAGGGAAATCAAGGAATGTTCCCAAAGTCACAAGTGAATATCAGAATTAACACATGAGGCCCAACTTTTGACAACCGTTATCCTTTCCAATACAAGAGACTATGTTACTGCTTGCCAGAAAGATTCCAAAGTATCTCTTCAGTGTAATTTCAACTGTGTGCTGACTTTCGTACCTTTTGGAGATGGTAAGAGGAATCAATCATGAGAATATTGTCAACCTAGGACATACAGAAGAATTTCAGTTTTCATTCATGATCTTGTGTGCCCAGAGGGACTGGTCATCTGTAGGATTTCAGAAGAAATCTCCCCTTGGTCACCAGGAGAAAGAGCCTAGGATGCCTTTAGACCTACTCTTCCCGCCAACACCCCCTGCACATGATTACAAAGTCAGCCTTCTGCCGGCTTCCAAGCATAGCACCGTCTGGTGTGGCGTTTGGTCCCTCTCCACCGGATCTATGGTAACTCTCCATCACAGATTTCACATTTTGTTGACTGTGATATGTTAAATTGCACTGACAAGTCATTTTATGTCTATTGGGAGGGCATCACTTTCCCAACTTTTGCAGCAGGTCGGAGTGATTTCCTGAGTGAGAACTGTTACAAAGCGAGTCCCCAAGAGATGGACCACCGGAGCCAATTTGATTAAGCATGCTAGAATTTATTACAGATTTGAATCTGGACTCAAACCATGGCTGACGCAGCAGCCAGTAAACACCCAGGTAAGAGCCCCGATGGAGGGGCAGTCCCTTCAGAGCGCTCACACAAAAACACAGACAAACACACACCTACCGCGGCCAGTCAGGCTCTCCGGAGTGGGGTCCCTCATGGTCCTGTCTGGGGATTCCAGTCACGATCCCCAAGGACCACCAGGGAGCCGAGTCCGATGCAATAAACAAAAGAGCCATCTCCATGCTATAATAGCATGGGCTGTCCCACTCACGCCAGCAGCATGGCGGAAGAGAGCGAATTTCGCCCAGTCCAGGAGTTTTACTCAGGTCGGTGATGTCACTGCCTCGGCTAACCCTGATTGGCACCTCAGGACTAAATTCTAAAGACTGGGGACAGCCTGCAAGGTTGGTTCCCAGTCACACCCTGCTTGACATTGGATGTGGCCCTATCTTGCCCATAATACAAAAGCAGAACTAAAGGTTATCTACAGTTTCTACCCCTGAAGCTACTGAGTCTGTGGGAGTCAATCTCCTGTAACTACCCTATTGTTTAAGCAAGCAATCGAAGGTCGAAGTCAGATAGCAAGGTTAAAATTCAAACAGCAGTTTTTACCCTAGTATGAGTGCTACCATATTTCAAGAACCTTGATTAAAGAGAACGCGTTTTTTTGATGGTGCCACTTTAGACCAAACAGAAAGTGCTGGCTCCTCAGCAGAACCCAGGCAATTAAAAAACGCATAAGCAGCGTTTATTAGATGGGTTAACAACACCATTCTTTAAAATACTAGCACAGAATATCACTGGGTATTTGAATTTTCATCAAGGTCATCCTAAGAAATGGCTTTGTATGATTGTCTACACAGCCACAGCAATGGCAAATCCTTAACAAATGGTTGATGGTGAAGGTGAAGTCATTACTAGAGTTTTATAGATATGGAAGTAAAGCTGGGTTTGCAAGCTCTCCAAGTCAGGAAAAAAGAAAGGGAAAAGAGCTGGATACTCTCTTAAACACTTGCATGCTATCTAATTTTCAGTAATGAGCTAGTAAGGCAGGTTCTGGGAAAAAGGAAAAAAAGCCCTGATTTGTAGCTTTTGTCAATTTCTATGGCCTACGTAGTCCCACCATAGCTAATTTCAGGCTGTCAACAGAATGCCACCGCATATTAAATTTAAAAGAAATACACACGTTTGTTTCTCATGAGCAATAAGAACCGGCTATTGCACTGAGTCCTCACATTAACTTGATGAGGTAGGTATTATCATCAGAGATGGTTAAGCCATTTACTCATCATCACAATGGCTGGGAAACTGTAGCAGTTGAATTGAAATTAGAATAGTCATATATGCTGAACATGACGTTTATGCCGTATTCCACTCCATGTGGGGGGAAAAATGTGTGTATTGAGAGCCTTCCCTGTGTCAGGCATTGCAGACACATTGCCCTGGTAATACCTAAACATAATGAAGAAAGAATACATGAAGCCTCCAAACGTGGCCTTATGTTGTCTCTCCACCCACCCAGGTGGGAAATGTGAAAGAAGTTTTCAGGATTTCTAAGAAAGGTACAATAGAAAGATTCATTGAGTTCAAATGTAATGAAGTGGAAAGGTAACATCTGATGGATCTTCCAGGTTTTTTCCTTTTTCTTTTGTATGTACATTGCTTAAAATAGCTGGGAACTGAATTAGGTTCATAATGTTTTTGAAATGGAGAAGAAATAGATGTAATCATGCCCCAGATTCTCCACTATTTTGCTAAGAAATCTGAACCCATTTTGTTTTTCTAGTTTCTCAGGAAGAATTTGATAATGCCACAGGATAATATCAGAGAACAACAACAACAACAAAAAATGGGCCCATTCTCAAATCCCACCCAAGGTGATCAAAGGTGTTTCATTTTATTTTGATTGATTTCTCATCTGTTCCTATCCCCTGTTTAATTGGAAAGAATTGGCAGAAAGTGCTCAGTGTCTAAACCTATTAGAATCAATTCCAAATTTTGTTTAGAAAACTTAGATGAGTATTTGGGCTCCCAGTCTTAATGAAGCCAATGATATTGTACTTCTAATTAGGTTACCTGGAATAAGTGATTTTTCTAAAATTGTGCTAACGTAGAGTCTTGCAGACATTTACAACATTGCTTGGTAGATGCTCATAGAGGATTTAATGCCTCAGTGGCCTGAGAGAAAGGAAGGGCCTCTCCAAGCAGCTAATTTACCACCTGCCTGGTGTTGTGTCCATGTCAGTTACAGTCAAAAGAGAGCTAAATTGTGTCTTCGCCTGCAGTCCCTGGTCAAACTAACTCTGTCCTAGGCTATTACAGCATCATGGAGAGACAGGCTTAGAGGCTCAGAGAATTGCAGTCGTTAGTGTAAGTTTATGGTGTCTCTGGATTCTGAATAGAAATTCTAGGAAATCTAGAGGTTTTTGTGGGGAAAAGAATCTCCTGAAGGTCTTCGTTTTCTGATAGTGACTGTGTGTTTTGGTTGACCTTTGGTAGCAAGGTCTTTTTTGGAGTCAGTGAAATCTGATTATGAGGGAGCCACCATCCCTTCCCTCTGAGCCCTAATGGGAAGCTTTCCCCAAACACCTTGAGTATTCTTCCTGCCTTAGCCATATCAAGATGGGTAAAGGGTGTGGACTCTGGAATCAGAGTGCTTGAGTTCACATTCCAGCTGCAGGATCTCGGACAAGTCACTTAACTTCTTTGTGCCTAAATTTTATCATCTGAAAAATTGGCACATTAGTAAGTCTTAGACTTGTATGTAATATGGCTGGAGGTAAATGCTAAATAGGTGCTCACCCAGCAAATATTCCCAAACCAGGTACTGTAGCAGACGATGTTAATGTTTGGACCATATCTCCTTGATGTTCTCTCCACATGGTAAAGACTGCTATGGCAAATACCGGACGGAGGTTTTCATTTCTGTCCTGCCTGAATGACTAGCTAGCTGTTCTGAGTGCTCCTGGAATAACATCCCAAGTCAATGATAGAAAGAATATTGTTGGACAAATACCCAGCTTCTTATCCTTTGGTTGCGATGATTCTGTAGTATGTTATATGTGGTCCCCTAAAGCTAGCTTTCCAGGGAGATGCAGCCCAAGTGGTAACTGGCTTGATAACATATATTTTACTTGTCTCCCCTTCACCCTCCCCTCACCTCTTTCCCTCCTTTCCTCCTTCTCTTCCTCTCTCCTTTTCTTGCACCACTGTTCTACTTCCCCTACTATGGTTTCCTGGAATCACCTTTCAAACTACTTTCATATAAATGGTTATGAATTGGATGCATAAAAACTTTTATAGAGATAATATACTTTCTTTATACTCTAATAGGCTAGTGTAGGTGTTTATGTCTCTGTATTTGTATGTATGTATTTTTTTTTAATTGAAAAGTTCTGGACTTAGAGACAGAGGACCCAAGTCACTGATTAACTGGATAAATGCATTTTAAAAAAATTCTCAGTTTTATCATGTAACAATATACATATATATTACATATATGTATATTTATATATACACACACACATCATGTAGTAAATGAAGCAATATATATATAAAATGATTCTACAAAGACTACATTTACTGTATCATTAGCAATCATCTCACTGGGGCTTTGTTTTTTTAGAATTTTTACCACTTGATATAGATCCTTTCTGTGTAATTCTACAATGAAAA